TGTTCAGTTACGTCTAAGAAATTTTCATAACAGCCCCTGGTCTGCTACACCAAACCAAAACCAAACCCAGTGCCATTGAGTCACTTCTGATGCAAAGCGACCCTATATTGTGTTTCTGAGACTGTAAATCTTTATGAGAGCAGACAGCCTCATCTTTCTCCTGCAGAGGGCCTATGGACTTGAACCACTGGCCTTGAGGTTGGCAGTCTAACACTTTCCCCACATTGCCACCAGTGCTCCATCATATTCATGGACTTTTTGCTGCAAGTGTAAATACTCATGTACAGATATTCTCTGTCAAACTGATATATATTCGTGGGTATATTCCAGCCTGTGTGGCTGTCCATGGATCTACTCAAGTTGTTAAGTGCTGCTGAATTGGTTCCAAATGAAGCGACTCAATATAGGGTTTCCAGGGAGTGACTGGTGGGTTTGAACCACATACCTTGTAGTTAGCAGTCCAGAACTAATCCTACATTATCATACCAGCATCTACTCTTGTTGTAGTTAAGTGCCATCGAGTCGGTTCCAACCCATAGTGACCCTGGTAGAGGGTTTCCAAGGAACTACTGGTGAGCTTGAATCACCAACCTTGCAGCTCAAATCGACTTTGCAGTCTGGCGCATTAACCCACAGCGCCACACCAGTACTCCTTGCATCTACTCTTAGTTCACTATTATTGTTGATTTGTGTATATTAATAGTATGTACCTCTGTTGCCTTTAACTCTTGCACTCCCCCTAGTGTCTTCCCCTGACTCCATCATTTTTTGCTGACCTCTCTCTTATTGTATTTTGCCCACTCAACCTCAAGGTCAGTTTGAACTACAAGGTCGGCAGTTCAAACTCATCAGCTGCTCCTTGGAAACCCTAAACAGGGTCACTATGAGTCAGAACTGACTCCATGGCACTTAACAATAACAATAGCCCTCCAGCCAGTAACTTACTCTTCATTCTCCTCCAACCCTGGAAATGTTTTCTTTAAGTACGAAAACATTGAACTTTTTGCAATAGATGTCTCATACAATATTTGTGCTTTTGTGATTGACTAATTTCATTCAGCATACACCCTCCGGGTTCATCCATGTTACAAGGTGTTTCACAGATACATTGTTATTCTTTAACGTTGTGTAGTATACATTTGTGTTAGATATGTAACTATGTAACCGTTTGTTTCTCCATTCATTCTTCTGTTGATGGACATTTAGTTTGCTTTAATCTATTGCTATTATGAATAGTGCTGGTATGAACATGGGAGCATGTGTATCTTTTCATGTAAGGAAATATATATCCTTCTCAAGGATATATATTAAGTAGAGTGATTACTGGCTCATATGGGATTTCTATTTTTAAGTTTTTATGGAAGCACCACAGTTCGTCTATTTGTAAGCTGCTTATTTCTTTGGGGCATTATCCTCATCAACTTTTTGTAGAGTATCAATTATTTCATCCATCTATCCAAACTTCACCATAAATTTGCTGTATGCTTTTGCTTCAGTTTTAGCAGATATTATGTTGATCTGATATCGGCTCTTTTCAAATGATGTCTTATCCGTTTTAGTGCTTTAAACTAGACATGTTTACCACTTCTGAGACTATGGTCCTGAGCCCCCAGGTCCAGCAACTCATTTCCTCAAGGTGTTTGGTCACATCTAGGAAGTTTTCATAACAGCCCCCCGGATGTTACACCATACAAGTAACTCAATGCAAGTTAATATGAATTTATTTTGAGTTTATTTTGGCGTAAAAATTGGAAATCTATATCTAGTTTTTTTTTTTTCATAATATGTATTTTCCATGAAACTTTTAAAGACCCCTCATAAGACAACTCAGCAAAATTTTACTACAAATATCTGTTGTTCCAAAATCTCTGTTTCTAAATTCAGACTTATGTCCAAGAACCAATAGATGAAAGGCCAAATCGTATCCTGGTCACCTGCCCATTTTGAAAACACTTTGAGAGTACATGGATGATGTCCATGGTGAAGAGCAGTTGTCTAAATATCACTATCCAAAGTGAACTTTCATGTTGAAGGACTGTTGTAATCACAGGGCTACAGGTTGAGGGATGGGGCATCCATGGGACTTTTGCAGGGAGGAAGAATGCTCTGTGTCAGTAGAGGACAGGGAATCCTGGGCTGTTTCACTGGGACTGGAGCACAGCCTTCAGAGTTAGAGGCAGTGAAGAGCAGGCCAGCAGGTCAGGTTCTAGAGTATGATTGGAGGGCACATTGGGAAAGACTAGGGTATGTGTGGGGACTAGACCAAAATGCCAGCCTTACCCTACTCAGAGAAGCAGGGATGCCTGAGACAGAGGCAGAGATGATGATGTGGAGAGATGGAGCAGCTGGGGACTTTAGACACAGAGAGGGAGAGGGGCTGTTTGCTGATGGCTGCGGGGGCAGGCTTGTAATGTATACCCTTTGGTTGGTTGCTGATGCATGGAGGGGATTATAACAATGGCAATGAGATGATATATGATAGAATGAATGTAAAACTAATGTTCTCCCATGTAAACTATCACATATTTCACAATAAAACTTTTTTTTTTTTTTTTTAAATGCCAGCCCCTAAGCAGAGTCAGGAGTCCTGGTGCTGTAGGTGAATGTGTTGGACTGCAAAGTCGATTTGGACCAGAAGGTCGATGGTTTGAGCTCATCAGCTGCTCCTTGGAAATCCTTTATAGGGTCTCTATGGGTCAGAACTGATTCAAAGGCACTTAAATGCACCACCACCACCACAAGCAGAATCAGCTTTCAAGGAAACCCAGGGCTCAGGCTGTGGAGGGCCCTTAATAAATATGGTCTACAGATAGTTCCCAAGTTATGTATCACTTTCATTGCCACCTGCCTTTCTTCTTTAGACTGCTTTTACTTCCGTGTTGCCTGAGACATTATAGAGTAGTGGGAAGATACATGAATTACTCAGCAGACACTCTACCTCAGTTGATGAATTCAGCCAGAAGACTAGTCCCTACACTGCCACTTACTGCTCGTCTGATATCGGGCAAATTGGCAATGGAGTCCTGGTATCATAAGTATGGGACTTGGGTTGCTAACTACAAGGTCAAAAGTGTGAGTCTACCAGGGGACTTTCTGCTCCTGTAAAGATTTACAGGGAACCCTATACAGGACCACTATGAGTCTTAACAAACTAGGCACACAGCAACAGTAGGAGCAGCAGCCGTAAATTCTTCATCTGTGAAGTGTGGACTTGGGAATCTCTGTCTTGTAGGACTGATGGAGTGTATGCCATGCATGTAAAGTACCTGGCACAGTGCTTGGAATAGACTTATATTGAATCTTTAATGAACAGCAGTTGTTTCCAATATTAAAATTTGACCACAAACCCTACCCCCTTCTCCTCTGGAGATTTTTGTTGTTGTTATCCAGGACATCGCAGAAAACATGCAGCACTCCAGAACACAGCACACTAAATCAGCAAAAACGCTGCTTCATAAATAAAACTCAGTACAATTTCCCTTAGATGATAGCTTCTTTCATTTGAGTGTCACGAAGCACCTCCTCAGCTGGCTGTAACTCAAATCCAGAATTTAAATCAATGATAAAGACCATCCTTTCCTTCCAGATGTTCCTCCATCCTAGATACTATTTGCTTATATGTCATTCAGACCATAAATCTTACCCCCCCAAACAACCTAATGTCTTTTTGAAGGAGTGGGCATTGGTTGACTCTCCCAGACAAGAGCAAAGGGTGCCAGGCTACTGACTTCCAGGTATCATGTAAGCGACTGTTACTGCTATTTCTCAAGAAATCCTTACAGATGATGTGTATAAAGGGCTAGTGAGTGCACTGTATTCAGTGGCACTGGACAAGTACATAGAACACTTACCCACCACCAAAAGAAACTGCTAAGACCAATTTTGAATTCTAACCTTTTTTTCTCAACTGTCAGGCACACCATTAGCCTCTGCATCCACTGGTTAAATTTTAAATTACTTCCCTCAGAAGGGACTGCAGTACTCTAAATTACCTAGCTGAGGCCATCTACTTATAGCCAACTGCACCCATCCTGGAGAAGGACACCATGCTTGGTAAAATGGAGGGTCAGCAAAAAAAATTTTTTTTTCAAAGATGAAGACCCCAATGAGGTGGATTGACAGTGACAAAAACAATGGGCTCCAAAGTAACAACAATTGTGAAGATGACATGGGACTGGCTGGTGTTTTGTTCTGTTGTGCATAAGGTCACTACGGGTTGGAACTAACTGAACGGCACCTAACAACAACAGCAACAATCCTGAGGATTCCCCCTAACACCTCCTCACCCTTCATTTTACTTAGGCTTTAGGTATTAGAGGATGTCTCGCAATCTTGCTAATATGATCTTACCATTCTATGGATGGAGGTATATCTTCCTTATCTTCAGATCCCCCACTGACATCCTGCCTTCCACAAAGCAGATGCTCAATTCACGTTTGATGGATCAATGAACCAGTGAACAGGTTCTTTTATTTATTAAGATTTCATTTCTCCTACATTCAAATCCATATATAGCTTTAAATAAAAAAAAACTCCTGTCCATCTATTTCATTCTTGAGTTCTTTCACATGTGCACAGAAAGTCCTATTTCAATGCCGTATTATCTCGTTTCAGATCACAAAATAAGATGGAAGATTTCCAAATTTGTTTTTGTAAAACAGCACTCTTAAGTCAGATAAAAAATGATGTGTCATTAGTGTCACTTCTGGTGTGGCACTGGACTGCAAAGCACAAAGTCAGGAGTTCAAACCCACCAGCTACTCCTGAGTTATGAGTTGGAACACACTTGATGGCAATTAACAACAACAACAATGTCTTTTATAAGCTTAGATTTTGAGATAATCAATTCTAATATTAAAAGGAACAGGATGTAAAAAATTCCAAAAAGGAAATAAAAATATAAATCTCTAAGTCATCCCTACAGAATAAGACAAAGATGCCACATGCTTTGCTTCCTCAAGCCTTCCCTGGCTCTCCACTACTTAGAACTCTGACTATCTTCAAACATAGAACGGAGAATCTGTTTCACTTTGGGTGGGAGAAGATGAACTTGAATTGATCATATCAACAGTGTCATCATCCGAATTCATGGCCCAGATTCTCCCTTCCTCTTCTCTCAAAGCCTCCTCATACCAAGGTAAGAAGGCATTGGCATTAGTCCTATTGATTTTGGCAAAAAACTCTAGGAGTTTCATCTTGCTGGTTTGTAAGTAGTCTTTGGGGCTCCGCAGAAATTGATTGAGGACAGGATTACTGTTGGGCACCAGTCAGTACTCCAGGTACTTTTCCCACACCAAGTCTTTGGTGATGAATTTCCTTGGCTCCCCAAAGAAAAAAATCAGTGCTTCCAGAATATATGCCAATCATATTCAGCGTTTCCCTATCTTCTCCTCAGCGGTGTTGTTGCCTTCTATGAAGATCACACCCAGGATAAGTACCAGGTGACCAGTCCCTGCTCACCATTCAGTATCCCATCATAGGTGAGATCTAGTGCTTTGTCAAGCAAGTAGGTTTTGCCAGTGAGGTCCACTTCCTTTACATTGATGCTAAAGACAACTTCCATGCGCTCACAGGCTTTATTGAAGATCACAGGGAAGTGGTCCTTGTACTCTTTGATAAACATCTTCAGCATCTCTGCCACTGTGAAGGATTCCTGTTTTAGGTACTTGACAATCAGGAACTGCACCAAATTAATCAGCTTCTTGTCTAGTGAATCACTGAGCAAAGGCTCAGTTTCTGGTGAGATGTATGAGGTACTTGGAATATCCTCTTCTTATAGTAGCAGTTGAGCAGGTATTCTGAGAACTTGGGGGAGACCTATCTGGAATCTCAAGAGGGATAAAGGAGGAGAAGCTGCGTACATCTCCACATCCACTTGGTCCTGTGTATTACCTTGGGACTGAGTTGTGTAGCACTGTCTCTGATGATCACGATGCATGATGACTCTTGTGGATGCAGCAAGCAGGACAGTGAGCAGAAGGGTGGAATGTGGAGGAAGAGAGTGAGTGTATTCAATTCTAGGGCCTTACCAGTGTCCTGCTCTCCTGGTCAGTTTTGTTTTCCCTAAAAACCTGAAGGAAAATGTGACATGGTTTTTCATAGTGTAACAGTAGGCACAATGGAGCTGAGGACACATCTCTACTAGTGGTAAAGGGGTTCTGTGCCCCCTCCTCTGGAGTAGGAGATCCCTTCAGGCTTACGAAGGGCCCTCAACTGGGTCACTCCTGCTGACCTGAATTGGGTGGGCTCAGGAAGCCACAGCAATCTCAGACTCCCAAGGCGGAAGTCCGGAAACACAGCATCCGGGGATTTTAGAAAGTGTCACATCAGGAGACCTTGCATCTCCCGCGGCTGAAAGCACGGTCAGGACGGAGCTGGAATCCAGTTTTATCTGTTTGGAGATCTACTCAGTGCTTCCTCAGGATTCTCACCTTGACTCCTGGAACTGCGTGAGTGGCCTCCCTCTGCGGACCCGAGATACCCCTGAGCTGCATTGGAAATGAGGGGGCTATTCTTACTGACAATCCCTGCCTGAGGTGCCCTTTAGGAGAGTAATGAGACTCAATTGATCCCTCACCCACTTGAAGCTCCTTATCTTGCTTCAGGTGCCATGATTTAATACTCCCTGGGAGATGTGCCCTGTCTTCCAGAGTTTAGCATTTACCCAACTATATACATCCTTGCAGAGAAAGTTTTCGTGTCCCAGACTAGATGCTGTATCAGGGAGTTGCAGTGCCCATGACAAGTGGTGGACTGTCAGAGAAGAGTCACATGGGGTCCCTTCACCAGCCAAACGTAAGACTGTGGAAAACTGTTGTTCTAAAGTACATTCTACCCACAAAAGCCTGAAAAGTGTGGTTTAGGGAAGTCTTACTCTTATGAAATTACCAGCAAGGAGCCCCAGTGGCACTGTAGGATAACCACTGGATTTCCAACCACAGACTTACCAGCAAGTCACAGGGAGAAGGATGAGGCTGTTTGTTTCCATAACATAATTAATTTGATAGCAGTAGATTTAACATTGAATATATAGACATGCATATGTATACACACACACACATATATACACATCTACATATATATTTTTGTTGTTGTTGTTATTGAGTGCCGTCGAGTTGATTCCAACCCATAGCGACCCTGTGGTTGGCCATTCTATGGTGTTGCATACCTTGCTAGTGTTGCTGTCTCCCCCATATACCTATCTATTGCTTAGCTGAAAATTGAGCCATGGAGGTGAGTTCAGTTCCATAACTGAAGGGTGACCAAGGCACATAGTCTCAAGTGGGGTTCCACCAGTCTTTATCTGACCAGTAAACCTGGTCTTTTTTGACTCTGATCTTTTTTTAAAGCTTTTATTGTGAATTGGGTTACAGTTTACATGGCAGAACATCGGCTTTACACTTAAGCAATAATACTTTGTTTTATTGCAATGATTACAATCCCTTCCGCGTCATTCGTTAACAGTATTTGCTTCTATTTCCTCTGCTTGTTTTTTTTTTTATTTTTTATTTTTTAATGTACACAAAACCACGCAGGAATATATAATCGTTTAATCAACCAAAGGGCACATTCTGCAAGCCTGCCTCCTGGACTCCAGCACACAGCCTTTCTCTTTTCATGAGTCTAGAGTCCTCAGCTACTCCATCTCTGCCTCCATCTCTGGTGTCACTGCTTCTCTGGATAGGGTCCCATATTCTGCTCATGCTCTTTTCCCTTGATGGCCCTAGGGTCTTCTGTTCCTGGAATGTAAGATTAACTGGTGGTTGGTGGTGGTTATGTGCCGTGGAGTCGGTTCCGACTCATAGCGACCCTGGATAGGGTTTCTGAGGCTGTAAATGTTTATGGGAGCAGAAAGCCTCATCGTTCTCCTGTAGTTTTGAACTACTTACCTTGAAATTAGCAGCCTGACTCATAACCACTATGCTACCAGAGCTCCTTACTCACCCCTTTTTGTTATACATCTTCTGATTTTACAGTTGTAACAATCACAATTAGTCATGGTAACAATTACTCACTATTGAATCATAAGAGTCTTGTCCCCATCTCTTTTCACCAGATCTGTCTAGACAAGATGTAAACTAATCAGTGGGGATTCTACCTCCCCACCCCTCACTCTGAAACTGAATTACCTCTTGAAAACTTGTAAGCCAGTCACTTCGTGCTTTTATAGCACCCCCATTTTAGGTAGCCAAGGTCTAAGTTGCCCATCCCTTTCAGACTTATGTACATTATGTAGTAGTCCATTATGTATATGTATCAAAGTTTGTTTATTTATCATTTCATTGATGATCATTTAGGTTGACTCAATCTTGTTGCTATAGGGAATAGTGCTGCAGTGAACATGGCTGTGCATTTATTTATTTATACTGTGGCTCTTATTTCTCTAGGAAATATGCCAAATTCAGGAATTACTGGGCCATATAATATTTCTAATTCCAACTTTTTGATGAAGTTCCATACAATTTCCACAATGGTTTCATCATTTTACAGTCTGCCCAGTTGTGTATAAGGGTTCCAGTCTCACCACACCCTTGCCAGCATTTATTGTTTTTTTGTTGTTGTTGTTGTTGAGCTTTGCTATAAATGCTTGTGTGAGATGACATTTCATTGTTGTTTTGTTTTGCATCTGTCTAATGGTTGTAGCACTGTAGGATAAGTACTAGACTGCTTACAGCAAGGTTGGTGGTTCAAACCTACCAGCTGCTTCCTGGAAACCCTATACAGGGTCACCACGAGTTGGAACTGACTCAATAGTACTTAACAACAGCAACAGAAATGGCTAATAATCTAGAGAACTTCTTCATATGTTTGTTGGCCTCCTGAATGTCTTCTTTGGAGAAGTGTCTGTTCTTGTCCTTTGCCCATTTAAAAAACAATTGAATGATTCCTCTTTTTTCTTGTTGAGTTGAAATTTTCTATAAATTTAGATATTAATTCATTGTCTAATATGTCATTGCCAAAATTCTTTCCCAGTCTGTGGGCTTTTTTTTTTTTACTTTTGGTAAAATATTTTGATGCATTTAAGTGTCTAAGTTTTAGGCAGTCCCACTCACCTAACTCTCCTACTGTGACAACGTAGGATAATCAGCAGTCCAAACACCAGGACTCTAGTCTTACCTACTATCCTGATAGTACCTCATGGCTACTGGCTTCTGTGGCCTGAGGTATTTCCTTTAATTTCTGCAGTGAAACATAGGCAGAGGTTTTAACACTTTCCTTTTATCTGTCTTGTCATCTTTAATTTGTTGCAGGTTATAGATGTTCCCCATCTCCATTCCCCTTCCCTGCTCAAATACAGTAGTAGTTCAACACCCACTCTATTCCAGGGCTTTCGTATATTTTGTTGTTTAAATTTTGTTTTTAACCTAAATATATGTATATTTTCAGTCTCCCTTCTGTTGATTTTTAGGCTTGATTTGGGGAGCAGAAAACAGCATCCTGAGCTTGATTGTCATCTGGAAGCTACAAATAAGGTACTAAATCTATAATTTAAGGAGATTCGATAGGCTTTATAATATGTTGTTCCCTGTTAATGAATATGGTATGCTGATCTATTAATTTTGGACTTCTTTTACCAGAATGTATCAGTAAGGTTTTGTAATTGCCGTCATAAAGATTGTGTGTATATTTGAACCTTATTCTTACGTAATTTGTGGATTTCATTGCTGTTGTGAACATGCTCTAATTAGTTATTGCTTTTTTTGTGGCAAGGCTTTTAATTTGCTATAGTGATATACCGTCCACTATATCTCTAAAGACTCTCTCTTTTTTAAAAAAAATATTCCACATACCTATTTCTTTAAGAATTTTCTGCCTAACTGATCATATTGCTAACAAATAGGTCTTTATTTTCATTGTTTACCTATTTACTTTGATATCCATAGTAGTTTTGAACAGTAGGGGTGATGGCATGTATCTATATCTGGTCCCTTCCTATAATGGGATGCTTCTAACTTTTTGCATTTATGTATGCTTGTAATAGATTTTAAAGAATTCTGGTGGTACTGTAGCATAAGTACTGGACTGCTAACTGCAGGGTTGGCAGTTCAAGCCCACAAGCCATTCCAAAGGGGAAAGATGGGGGGTTTTGCTCCCATAAAGATTACAGTCTTACAAACCACATATAGGGTTTGCTATGAATCAGAATCTAACTTGATGGAAGTGGGTTTTGTCTTGTTTTATGGTTTTGTAATAGATTTTAGGACATGGAGTTTCTTTTCAATTTTTAGTTTGCTAAAAGTTCATAGCATGAACTTGTGTTGAGTTTCTTTCAAAGATTTTTTCCAAACCTGTGAACACAATCAATGTTTTTTTTCTCCTCTAATTTGTTAATGTAGGAAATTACAGTTTAAAGTAGTTTCTAAGGTTAAATCATGTTTTCATGTCTTAGACACAGCCTGTTAGGTCTTTTAATTTGCTGATGTGTTGAATATGCTGCTAATTTGCTTAGGATATTTGCTGCTATGTGAGTGAGCTGGCTCATCCATGAGTTGACCTCAACTGGTTTTTTAATCAAGGAGGACGACTGTGGGAAATGAATAGGTTCTCTTCTTTTATATGCTTTCAAGAGTTTACAAAGAATTGTGAAGTTTTCCCTGCCCGTTTGGAAGAACTGGTATCTAAAACTGCCTTGTTTTTAGAGTTATATGAAACTTTTAGAATTTGATAGTGTCACCATTGATATATTAAAGCTCCAGTGCTTCACATTCCTGACAACATCTGTCATCAGTCTTTTAAATTTAAGACTTTGTAATAGGTAGGTAGTGTTAATGCCATTGTAATTTCAATTCGCATTTTTATAAATTATTAGTAATGTTATTACTTGTCATCTGTATGTCTTGTTAGGGAAATTGTGAATTATTTTGTCCATTTTTATTGGGATGTTTGATTCATCCTTATTGTGATTTAAGAACTTCTTATATGTTTTGACTACAAGAA